GCCAGTTCAAAAGGGCCTCATAAAGACCATTTGAATTCTAAATTTAATTTACTTAATTCTATCAATTTAGTTAGAAATGTGTTCCTGAGGAAAACTGTGATTTCACCAGCAGCAGTTTCTGAAAGAATACCGTTAAGGCATTAGTTACCCATAACCTTCCATTTTCTCTTCTTATTAGAGCTAGGAATCCTTTAAACAACCAGTTCATTTGAGGAAACACATCTTCAGAAGGAAATTGAGTTGAGGACTCTTAGTGCTCATGGAAAAGCATGCATTTCCAATGGGATGGCCATTTCCCAGAAGGATTGAGTTGCATGTAAATCTGAGTACTCATACCAGCAACAATCCTAGACTGAATAATCTGTTCCCAAAGGATTAGATTGAAAGCCAATACAACTCCCTTAAGAGCCATCTGAATTCAAACAATTTACTGAAGACTGACACAATTCCATATGATAGCCTGATTTTCTGAAGATAGCAACCCATATGCCTCAGGTCGTCAGGTGGTACCCCTAGATGACAGAGACCTTCGATACAACAGGAAATCATTGAAAAGACCATCAAACTGCAGATATCAAATCTAGAAGAAGACTTACCCTCTGCCTCCAGGATTAGTGAGAAAATAATGACTGCAGGTTCAGGTTGAGATAAGACATCTATTTTTTTTTTTTCTTCCCCCCAGCATCAGTTATTAGTCTATCTTTGATGCCCTGTATGGGCAGCCAAATAAGTTAACCTCAAGCTAAAGGAATCAGTTATTAAAAAAAAAGAAAGAAAATAACAATTGAAAATTGTCTGTTTGGCCAGGACAAGGCACACAGTCATTCCCCAAGAAGTCAAGCAGACACCCCCTTATCTAATCTCTGCTGCTCCTGCTGGGTAGAGGAAGCTCTTTCTTCTCCTAGTGCTGCAAACATTACTTCCCTTCAGACATGCAAGGCCTGCTGAGCACTGTAGTTTGCACATGCATGGACCTTAGATCCTCTTCTAGCCTCCCAACCTCAGTTAAATAGGGATTCTGGATATTAGTTTTCACAAAAATTAGTGATTGCACAAACAAAAATAGCACCAGTTTCTGACCCTCTTGTCAGTTCTTTCCTCTAACATATTGACAATACTGCTGTGTTTTTCACAAAGCAGAGGGAACAGTGTTTCCCCTGTGCCCAAATGATCCCAGTCCAGTTGAGAGACTTAAGGAAGAAAAAAATGGTAAAGGACCAATTCAGTTAAAACAAACCAAAAAAAAAAAAAAAATCTCAAATTTGTGGAGACCCTGTAGAATTCTGTGGCATAACAATTTTGTTTTAAGCCATATATCACTGGAAGTGCTCCAATTGTGAGTTATGATAATATATCATTAGTGGGTTGGTGCACTCATGATGTATGAGCCCAGTACATCCTCCAAGCATCACAGCTTTGATGATGTATGACTCCAAACCACAATGAGTGTTTAAAGGAGCTTTTAGCAACCAGACAGCTTTAAATTTCAAATTTTCTAAAAATTAAGGTCTTTTCAAGTCAAATAAGACAAGGTGATAGAATTTGATATTGTATAAAGAGTCACTGAACTCTTGAGAGCCTTGGTATGTGTCTTTTTCTTTGGCTCTAAATTCACAAGCTGGAAATGATTGCCAGATTCCTCTCTAGCTCCTCCTCCTCCATAAGAACAGAAGCCCAGGGTACTGAACAAACATGAGCAAGTGTCAATGCATCTATTTTGCCTGTCAGTTTTCCCCATCTTCCAACCTGCAAACAGGAGTGGCTCATCTTTCTCCCAAAGTCCTGGAACACAAGAGATGCTGTCATAGGCATTGGATAAACATCAGAAAGATTACTTTTGTTTTCTTTGTCTTAGAGACCTCTTGCACTGAAATTTAGCACAAAGAACAGATAAACTTCCTTACCCATTGCTTACAAATTCAGAACAGGGCATACAGAAGGAAAACTTGACTTTTCTCTCACTTGTCTTTGTGAAGCAATGGAAGTGCTGGTTTCAATGGGAAGAAAAATAGGTGAATGACATATGGGCCCTCATGCCAAGCAGAAAACAGAACCTATTGTCATAGTTTTATCACTATTTTAACGATGTGTTTATAAAATGGCAGTGTTGTTTATGAGACTACCTTCTTTATTTAAAAACCAGTCCCTGTCGGGGCCCTCTCTGGTGACACAGCAGGTTATAGCAGAGTTCAATCCCTGCCGTGGAGGTGACCCACATGGCACGGCAGACCTCTTCTCTGCCCATGCTCCCTTCAGCAGTGTACTTCACTGATCTGTCTGTTCTGCTCCCCACTCTGTCTCTGGTGAAGCCTCTCACCACCCCTGTACCTCTGGCCTGTACCCCAGTTCTGTATGCATAAGTAAATCTTGAAAAAAAGCCCTTTGGGAGGCAAAGAAATCACTAAGAAAGCAGGTGTTAGGATAACCTTTCTACCTCCTCTTTTTTTTTTTTCAATCCTATTGTAATAAACAGAACAAAATGAGAAATCTCCCTACTGTTTGTGTAATAGACCCAAACAGGAACAGCAAGAGACAATTACATTTCAAGTGGTTTCTTCCATTTCCCTTTACTAAGTGAATTAGAGGAAGGAGTGTTGGTGGAGTTACTGCCATGTGGAGAAAAACCTCTGGGCATGATGAATTAACAGTCTGTTATGTCACCTCGAGTTTTTCACCTCTTCAGCTTCCTCAGGTAGACTAGCTCACAGATCTCTGTAGGTTGTTTGTGTCCACCATCCCATTCTTCCCTGACTTATGAAGGGCAGCCTATCCAGGCAGAACTATTTGCTGCTATAAATCCTTGATTCTTTTTTCCTGTGATAGCAACTAACTATATATTTTGCTTTAAAGAAACATGAAAAGAAATGTACCAAACAGTATTCTGAGACCATCCATTGAATCAACTGAAAAAGATGGCATAGAATTTTAAATTTTGATGAAGTTACACTCTTCCACTTTTAAGGACTCTTGTGTTTATTAGGTCTAGGCTGATAATGCAGGATCATCCATACTCTTCCTATTTTAAGATCAGATAGTTAGCAGCTCGTGTTGAGATCCATGTTCCTTTCAAGGACCTTCTGTAAATGACTTCCTTTCTGATACAGAACCGTGTTTTGAAGTACTTAAGCTACAAGTTAAATATATATAAATAAAATAATACTACTGCACTATATGCGTTGAATATTATGTAACCAGTAGCATAATAAGCATGTTTAATAAATCTTAACCTTGTAATATAGAAATTGTTAAAATCTCCATTATAGATTAGGCTACTGAGGTAACAGGTGTTTTGAGGTTAAGACCACACAGCTAACAGATGCTGTGTCTAGGATCTGCATAAGTAGGTTGACTAAAGAACCCATGTATGGAATATCTGATTACAAAAAAGTACAAGATGCATGGATGGGAGGGAAAGAAGGAGAGAGAAAATGATGGGGTGGTGGAAGGTAGGAAGGAAATAGGAAAAGAGAAAAGAATAGAAAATTGAGTTCAGGCTCCTTCCAAGAGTGGGCTATTGCAATTTGTGGCATTTTATTAGTCATAAGTTTTAGTCAGGCAGCCCGGGATTTCAACAAATTTCAGTCTGGGCCCATCCTGGACTACTTTCTCCTAAGAATTTGGTCCCATGGGTAGTTTGTGATTTATTTTTTCTTGTTTGTTATTTACCCCTCGCTCTGTGTTCACAGTCTTTGTGACTTAAGTATACTCCTGTTCCAGTTGCTGAGGAATCGGTGACTGACTTCACCATTGGCTTAAGAATTATTCTGGCAAAACATGTCACTCTTTAGGGACTCTGTGCTCAGGGGTGGATGTGAAACTCTTCTCTGCTTCCTTCGCCTTGGCCCTGCTTGTTCCCGGCCTTTGCTTTGACAACATATCATTTTCCCTTCCTCCAGCAACAAAGCCTGAGGGACACTTAATCTCACATTCTCTGGAGGCCCTTTGGAGCTCTGGAGCCTGAACACCATAATCACGAAGGGGTGGGTGTGATCAAGGACAAGGTTTGATTCTTTGCCACTCCGTATTTAGGCTTTTCATTTTCACATCCCTCCCTAAGGTTTGTATTAAAGGCAGAAACATAGCTCAAGGGTAGGATGAGGTTTAACTTCAGTAGAGGCACAATAGAGGCTATTTGGAAAGTAAAACTTTGAAATAGCAGGTTAGCCTTGAAGAATAGATTGAATTAGATATGCTGTTTGCCCTGATTCATGATGATCTCTGCATAATAGCATTGCTATGTATATTACTTCGGTGCTTTAGTAAACTACAAAATGGACAGTTCAGAAGATTAATTTCATGGAATCATTGTATGTGATGAAGAATAAGAGGATAAGTCAGATAACCTGGCTTCCTGTACTGACTATCATATCCTGCAGGGGCCTTGACCTCCCTGGGGGGTAGAACTTCCTCATTTGTTAAAATGGAGAGCATAGAAACTGCCTCACAGGATTATTCTGAGCAGTAAGCTAGATGTATGCCAAACACAAAACTTTCTTTATCATAGTAAGCTCTTGATAAGGAGAATTATTTATGTTATGGTTGCATGATAATTATTTGAAGGCTAGGTTCTATAATTTGGTCTATCTACTTTCCTACTCTCACTCATTTGTTCTTTACTCTTACGAAGCTCTCTGTTAGCCAATTCTTATTTTTTGTCAGTTTCAGAGTTGCTACGGTCACCTTTGAAGATGTGCTGTCATTTTAAAGCACTGGCTAAATACAACCAAGACTGACAACTATGACTAATTCCAGAGCCCCTAAAACACTGACATTTTACTCAAACCCTCGTGTATTCCACCAAGTTGTTCTCTATCTCTATTGTTTTGCACATCTATATTCTCAGCCAATTTTAGATAGAGTTACTGAAGGAAGATATCATTTTCTTCTGGAAAATAATCCAGAAGGAATCAATGTAGAGTAATTGGTCTTTATAAGAACATCACTGTCAAATCTAAAATGACATGGAAAGATAACTTTTTTTATTTCCTTGTAAATTGTAGCATGTGCACGTCCACGTTCTTCCCAGGAAAGCTGGAGACTTTCACAGGAATGACAGCATCTATGATGAGGTAGGTCTGTGATTTCTGATCTTACTGTTTGATCACCGCAGCTGTCAGTTTGACAAAGTCAACCTAATGTACCAGGTATCACCTGAAATATGAATCTTAAACATGATTCTACCCAGTATGACTTGAGGACCGGCAGTACTGGCCAAGAAGCCAAGAATGGTCATTATAGGAATCCAGGACATTCTTTCTGAAATGAAATCCAGCAGAAACAAAGTGTGCTTGAGATTTCTTGGCTATAATTTACCAGGACAGTAAGTATTTGCATAGAGATATGGCCCACAGTATTCATAAGAGAAAATCTATAGTACAAACAATGGAAATCAAACAGATTGTTATATGACATTTTAGTAAATAACTACATATTTTCAAAACATTTTGGAACTCTGCTTTTTCCTCCACATATATAGTTTTATTCAATGTGGAAGTTTGAATTACCAGCAGAAAATTGGGTGGTTTGAAGACATGAATGTATCCCATGTATCATAAGCATTTTAATAATTGCTAGCTGGCTAAGCAGTTAAATGATTTCTGGATTCTTCATTTCAATGATATATATGAGTGTGAAACCACTGCAAAGATGAGTCGGCAAGAGCTGGTTACGTAGCTTCTGGGATTATCTTCTTTATTTGGGTGTGTGTATGCATTATGAATAACATATAAGCTAGATGGTGGAATGAAATGTAAAAAGACGACTTCGGCATTTATTCTACTCAGGGAAGGGAACACATGCTCCCTAAGTGTAACATTAGGTAAGATTGCATAGTGCCCAGAACTGCTTGGTTGAAAAGGATTTGAAAATTGTTTCTACATTCAACAAGGTAAAGTACTGTAATTGATGACTGATGTCTGCCACGGTATCCAATGTATTTGACACACCATATCCCGTGTCTTCCAAGAGCTGTGATATTCCTGTGTATGGTGCTAATCCCCGGTCCTTTAGTGCTGGGTGTGGACCAAACTCAGTTCTGAGCAGTCCCTTCCCTAGAGATTCTGACCCAGTAGATTTCAGAGACACCTATGAATCTGTAATTGTGTGAGCTGAGAAAATCTCAGGAGATTCTGATGCAAAACTTTAGAGTGTGCTAATAGGCTTTCCTCTCTCACTTTGGGCTTTCATTCACTTGGCCTTTCCCTGGGCTGTAGTCTATGATACTGCAATTTGAATTCATTTTCATTGAATATGGAAAGTGGTTTGAGGTTGGTAAGGGCTTAGTTCAAGTTGGAGGGAAATCAGAATTATGGAGTAATTATAAAAATATGCATTATAAAAATGTAAGTACTGATCTTATTAGCATAAAGTAAGGTTAACAAAAAGTTGCCAAGGACGGGGTATTCTAATGAATAAATTAGCACATGATTTATATACTAAAGTGGCATAAAAAGTGCTTGAAAACACCTTTTTTTAGGATGAACTGTCACCTTGGAATTTTGTTTATATTTCAAATGTGCTTATGACAGGAGACTACAAAGTTACATTTCACCCCAGTTGGAGACATGATGTCCGACACTGAGGTTGGTGTGTGACCATCTGCTCCTCCCTTACACTTTACCCTTGTATATAGACTGTGATACCACCTCTAGCCCCAGAGATGAGGTAACAATTGACCCCTTCTCCCCCTTGCTGGGAGGAACATCTTAGAAGTAATTACTATAAGAGTTCTTTTTCTCAATCAACTTTTAAGCTAGATGTGGTATATGCAATACTTACTAAGAAAGTGCAGCACAAAACCATGAAGAGATTGAACTTTGAAGAGAGGAAAAATGTGGTTAAAACCACAATGTCATCTACTCAGAGTGCCACTAGGCAAGCCACCCAACCTGTGTTTTAATTCCTTTCTCTCTAAAATGGTAATGACACATATATATATTACAAGTGATTGTTGTGCATAACATATCACATACATGTAAGGTGATGCAGGTAAATCTTATTATAGGACTTGGTACATAATGGACATTTGTAATTGGTAATTATTCTATTCATAGTCAAGGCTATGTCTTTGTTTGTTTGTTTAGTTTTGCTCATAGAAGAGCTGTGGTTGTAGTCCATGAGGAGAGGGGTGAGAGGATTTACCAGAGACAGACTGGGGAGCAGAACAGTCAGATTTACTGAAATATACTGCTGAGGAGAGCATCAGGTGGGTCAGGAGTGGTCTCCTGCACCACATGTGGGTCAGCTCCCAGGTATCAAACTGAGGCTCTAGCAGTGATAGTGCTGAGACTTAATCTCTAGGCCCAAAGTCAGGTCTTTGTACGCTTCCAGTCAGTGTGTGATTCCCTTGTCCCCTCACAGGTTAGGTTTCCAATTTTGCCTCTGGATTTAACCATTCATTCTCAGATTTATCTTCCTCTTTTTACAAAAATACTTCTCCAGTTTGAGTCATAAGTTAATGTCTAGAAAGTGGCATGAGGAGCACGAAGCATTGCACAGGCATTATTGGTACAAGACATAATGTACATTAGGCTGAGTATCTTAATGAGAAATGTTGAAGTGATGAGAAACAACATTCCTTATGTCAGTAGGAGCATTTACTCTACATTATGCATCTGTCCATGAAATACAATGAGCAGACTCTCTGGGAGGGTAGGGAGTGGGGAACAAGACAGCAGGGGACTGAGCTTGGTAAAATGTTACTGTATTCCTATTTCCTACTGTTGCAGAAATTGAAAATGATGGCTAAAGTAGCTTGATATTCTAAAACAACTATGAACGTGGGGTTCTTCCTGGGTACTGTTTTAAGAGGAATAGTGACAAACTGGAGAAGGCTCAGAGAAATGTAAGTGGGATACCATAATTTGGAAATTGTTATCTGGGGAGTAGTTGAAGAGGTATATGCTTTGCAGAAGAGGGAAGGCAGTATCAGGGCTTTTATTTGTAAATATATGAAGGACTGACAGGTGCAAAAAGTACTGAGAATATTCTAGGCACCCATAGAAGGCAGATCTAGCACTACTAGGCTAAAAGGAGGCAGACCTCAGCTGTGTGTTACCACAGGTCATTTGGATAGGAACCAGTGAACATGTTGGATGCCTTATAAGGGATTGAACGGCCTATCTTTGTAAAGGCCATGATACTTCCATGGACATCTACATTCAGCACTTGAGTGGACCATATGGTTCTGATTCCTGTTTTTACTTGACCTTTGATCATTACCTCCATTTTCAGATTACATAAGTTCTATAACAGAGTGGTTTTGATTGTTTTTCATTGGTAGCACAGCATTTGAGTCACTGCCTATCAAGCATTCTTTTTTTGTTTAATTCTTGGAAATATAAGAAATAACTCTTCCTTGAGTTATATGAGATCATGCCCTATTAATTCATTTCAAGCCCAGTTTTACTTCCTGCTTTTTTCTCTAGCTTGGTGTTACATATTAACAATTCGTGGATCTTGCTAGCCTGCTCATAGGTGCTTTTTTGGTACCTGAGAATTATTTTTTAATGAGTTTGAATGTTAATCCTGTCACTTATTCTCTAGGTCACTACAGTTCCCACTCTTCCCTGGTTCTTACCTAGGTTTGCCTCATTCCTTTATGATTCCTACCTGGCCCCTAAAGGCATTTGAGATTTAGGTTCCTGCCTATCCCCTGGGTTCCTTCTTTTCTCTCTACCACTCAAATGTTACTATCCAGACTTCTTTGTCCAATCCATTCTAAGTGCCACTTGTCTGTTACATTCATATCACTTCCTTGCTTATGTATGTACAGTGCTATGACCCTGGGTGAGAATTTCAATAGTAGGTTTGACCTGCTTCCTTAGCAATGCTAATGTCACTCTCCCTCACTGCTTGCTTTTGTTAGATATATACTTGTTTCAACTTAGGGTATTTGCACATGTTGTTTTATTTGATTACAACTTTGTCCATCGTCTCCTCTCCTTCATGTGGTTTCATATCATCATCTAAATTTCAGCTCGCATGTCACCTTCTCAGAGTACTTTTCCATTGATCTCCCAACCCCACCTAACATAGCTAGTTCCTTATCTCCTCCACTATAACTATGCTATATTACCATTTTTATTTCCTCAACATTTTTTCACAATGCTTTCATCTCTAACGATACTGGATCAGTTGAAAAAAGGAACCTAATCTATCATGGAGAAAGTCTTCAATAAATATTTAGTTAGTGATAAAGTACATGAAAGTACGGAGTATTTAACTATAATGAAACACCCTATTCATCCTAAAATAATTTAAAATGGGAAAAACATTTTGATTTTCATAAGGGCAGTTGATTAACTCACAGCTACTTTGGGTGAGATTCTGACATGTTATTATCAGCCTACCTGAGGTAAATTTAATGAGCACTGATAGAACACAATCTGCTGGTCAGAAATTAGTGTGCAGAAGACTGCAAATTGTGGTACATTAGAAGGGCTTGGGGAAGTAATTATAAATCATGTCTGACTGCTGTGCAAGTCTGATTGGCTTAAGTAACTTGGCCTCCAAAACCTAGACTTGTATGTCTGTTACAAATGCAGATACAAGATTTGCTGAAAGCAGGTACAAGAGTGTCTCTTCCTGTTGTCCTGATGTTAATTATCACCTTATAATTTATTGTCATTTGCTTTTCCTCCAGTTTTTGGTCCTGAATTTATCTTTTGAATTTTGTTGAGTAACTTATCATTTGCATTTAAGAGGTTAAGCTTCTCTTCTCTCCCTGTTAGCTAAATCCAAGCTTCACCTTTTTCAATATGATGACCTTCCTGTATGGTTCTCCATGCAGTTATTATTTGTCTGTTGCTCCCAAGCTCTTTCTACATCTATGTTCTTTAAATTTTCATAAATTATGTGAGACCTTCTTTGAACTCAGTGGGCCCTCCATTATCTTGACAAGTTGATAAAGATCATGATAATGACATAAATGGGTCCTTGGATAAAACAAAGTGTACAGATAATGTGAATGAGAGAAAACAGTCATTGCCTAATTCCATGGTATATCATCTCATTAACTCAGTAAGACATTCCCTAGTCTCATAACTGTAGTGGACAATTCATCAAATGT